AAATAAATAAATAAAATTTAAAAAAAATGAAATCTTGGGCTGGCGAGATAGCTCAGCAGTCTAAAGCACCTGCTTAGGCAAAGGGGGGTACCCCGGCACTGCATGCCTCGCCAGCCCTGCCCCCAGGGCGGGCTGAGCCAGACACACACACACACACACACACACACACACGCATACACACATGCACCAAAAAAAATCAGAAAACTTTTGAGCTGGGAAGATAGCTCAGCAACATAAATGCCTGCCTGGCAAGCACAAGGTCCTGAATTTATTCCCTGATACCACCAAAAAAAAAAAAAAAAACCAAAACACAAACTTGCTGTATTAAAAAGTCTTTGTTTAATTCAGACAAAACAATTTTCTAATGATTAAGCACTATGCAGCTTTTTGGGAGGGGAGTGAATGGGGGAGGGGAGAAGCAGGAGTCGCAGAGAAGTGAGAGCTCGGAGCAGTGCGGTGGCAACAGCTCCCACCCGGGTCCCACTGGGGACCCTAAAGACCTTGCCCTTCCTTGAGCCACCCATAGCGGAGCGTCTGCTGCTGCCAGCTCCAGCGTGCTGCAGCTCAGAGCTCCCACTGCTCGAGTCTGGTCTCCCACGGTGAACCTGGGCTTCACCTGCCTCCAAGGACCAGGGCCTGTGTCTCTCTCCAGGGATGGAATCTGCTGGCATCCACGAAACCACCTACAACAGCATCATGAAGTGCGATATTGACATCAGGAAGGACCTCTATGCTAACAATGTCCTCTCAGGGGGCACCACCATGTACCCGGGCATTGCCGATCGGATGCAGAAGGAGATTACTGCCCTGGCTCCCAGCACCATGAAGATCAAGGTACTGCTGCCCGGTGACAGCCCCCACGGCGTGCTGCCAGCGGAGGCAACCCTGTGGTTAGATGTGAAGGACATTTCTGGGACCACACCTTGGTCACATGCGTTGATGAATTCCAGGGCTAGCCAGTGTGAAAAAAATCTACACATCTCCTGCTATATACAAGCCAACCCAATCCATAGACAAATGCATTATTTTATACAAAAATTGGCCTGTTCTTATGACTCTTACCTCTGCGTTACTCTCAGCAGCTGCAGTCAAGGGCAACGCCACCTCCCACATACCCTTAGAACATACATTTATAGCAGATCTCACCTGCAAAATATGTCTTAAAAATACAAGGAACCCAACACTTCTGAAGCAGCTTTAGCCCTGTAGATTTAGTAGTTTGGATTCCTTCACTGTTCAATGTGACCATACCCTAGGGCCAGGAGTTCAAGTTCTCTCTTCATCTTTCTGTCTGGAATACTTTTTTAAAAATGTATTTGGCACATGGCACAGGGTCTCACTATGCAGCTCAGACTTGTAATGATCCTCCAGTTTTCAGCCTCCACAGTGCTGGGATTAGAGCCATGTGCCACCACCATGCCTAGTCTCAGTGGCCATCTCAGCAAGCCCAGGGGTAGGGCTGGCACAATATATGGTGCTGGGGATTAAACCCCAGTCCCTGCACTTGCCTAAGTAGGTGCTTAGTCTGCTGAGCCATCTCACCGGCCCTGTCTGTTTGGAATACTTTTTTATATCGGTGCATTAAAAGCACAGAATGACTCTGGCATGACCAGGCTCCTTGGTGGAGTCACCCGGGGCCCTGTAAGGTGAGCACCCTGAGGGCCAGGCAAGGGAGCTTGAGATGGATGGAGCTCCTTCCCTTGAATGAAGCATCCCTGAGGTGGGTGAATTCTCAAAGAGCCTTATCACTTTCTGAAATCAGAAGGCTGCCTGAGATTCCCCATCCCACGTTGCAGGAAGCAGGAGAAAGAGCACATCTAGTGCAGGTCTTGCAGGAGAGGCAGACAGACAAGTGCTTGATTATTTGCACTCCTGTTTTACTTATTCAAAGAATGTGCAGGTCCCAGGAGGGAGTGCGCTAGCCTGCAACACACACGCTCTCTCCTTCTGCCAGATGCTCCAGGAAGTCCTACCCTAACAGACTTCAGGACAAGCATAGAGAGGCCCTTTTCAGAAATGCTTCAGTTTCTAGGATGCTGTCTAACCCCCTCATGTCCCCTTGCATGTTGGAGGTAGAGCTAAAGCCAGAGACAGGGCTCCCTCTCTAGCCATCCTGACTGAGGCTATGACACAAGGGCTGCTGCTGAAGCGGGCAAGGGCTAGTTCTTCAAACTTGACTCCTGGACTGAAATGCAGGTGAAACTTTAGGCCCCAGGGCAGTGAAAGAATTAGAGAACTATTAAAACCCTGGTTACTGTAAAATGACACAAGGGGAAAATGAAAGTGAGAGGGGGCCTATGGGAAATTCCCATGCCAACTCTGAGACTTTTCTGGAAATTTAAAATTATCTACCTCCTCTGAAATACTTATTTCTGTAACAAAGTGAAACAAAACACTTTGCAGAGTCCAGGCTTAAATACTGGGTCTGAAACTCAAGCTTCTATGGCCAGGGATTTATAATTCTCTCGGCTTCTGTTTCCTCGCGAGTGACACGAGAGTGGTGCCCTGCTCCCTCCTCGAGGTGCTTGTGAGAGTTAAGCTCCCGAATACATGAAGGAGGTCAGCAAACGCCAGCCTCTTACATTTAACAATAAATGCTCAACCAGAGCTGGGGATAAACAAAAAGGGTCTCATTTAACACCACCCCCCCACCCCCCACCCCCTTTTCAGAAACAGCTCCTCTGTGAGCCAGAGAGCCACGTCTACCTAAGGATCCAAAATTTGGCCTGGAATGTGAATTTCTCCCCCGCAGCTATTGTTTTGAGTTTGGCTAGAAGATCCATGGCAGACATCTCTGAGCCTAAGTCATTTGCTTACGAAAAAACGTGCCTGCCTTTGCACACTAGTCCTGCCATCGGGGAGACCACACCTCATAGGGACCCTCCAGGGGAATGTCGCTCCCAGTAGGGACCCAGAGTCCCTCGGGGCAGGCTCTGATGAGTGGGATTGCAGAGTGGCAGCTGATCTAATCTGGCTCAGGGACACCAACAGATTAAGGTTACGATTTCTTTGAAGCTGTTGGTGCTAGTTTCTAGAGAAAGCACGCGTCACGCTAGGCTCTGGGGAGAATGTGCCATGTCTCTGTGCGTGGAGGCCGCGTAGGACCGAGGCTCACTCTACTGAGTGATGACTTGGGGTGGGTCGGAACAGACCGTATGAAAGGAGCCTGAGTAAACGAAAGCGACAGTGGAGGAGGCTCCGAACCTGGGACCTCTGCCCTCTCCCTCGTCATCGAGGGGGTTGTCCTCAAAGGACACCAGGCCCCGGGGATGGGGGTGCACCCAGGCACTGCCCCACACGCTGATGCCCTTTCTGCTTCCTCCGCCCGACAGATCATCGCCCCTCCAGAGCGCAAGTACTCGGTGTGGATCGGCGGCTCCATCCTGGCCTCGCTGTCCACCTTCCAGCAGATGTGGATCAGCAAGCAAGAGTACGACGAGGCTGGGCCCTCCATCGTGCACCGCAAATGCTTCTAAATCACCCTTGCTGTGTGCGTCTCTAGCACACAACTGTGAATGTTTCGTGGAGTAACGGCTTCAATTTCTTTCCAAACCATTCCTAAGCAAAGCTCTGATTCGTTACCTATGTTTTTTTAAAAATAAATCCGAAATATTCGACCCCTAATTTCTAGCATTGGCCTCTGATCAACACCCTGCTGATCACGTCACTGGGTTGACTCTGCCCAGCCAGGCTGGCGCCCTCTAGTGGGCAGTGAGGGCATGACACAGTCAGCGTGGTTGCGTTCCCAGGCTGGGCGTGGAATAACATTAACAGTATGCCAAGCGCCGCTTAAATGTTGTAAGTGGGAAGAATTTGACAAAGCCACAGGAGATTTAAAAATATAGATGGGACTGGAGGTATAGCTCATTGGTAGAGCACTTGTTTAGCACGTGGAGGTCCTGGGTTAGATCCCAAGCTCTGAAAAAGAAGGAAGGAAAGGAGAGAGGGAAGGAAGGAAAGAGAAAAGTTTAGAGTTTCATTGGAAAAACAGAAAATATACACTGACTACAACTTACTGAGTGATTTTTTTTTTTTTAATTTCACACACATACTCCCAGTACCGGTAGCACGATTGGTGAAAACAAAAAAGAAGAATTTTATACATATATAAAGTTTTATAAACAATTATGTATTTATTAAAGCCATATCTTTTATATTAAACACATATATGCATGTGACTTTAATATTTTTACTATATATTAAAGTATGTATGTAAAGAAGCTATAACTTTTAAGTTCATTGATTTGCATTGAACGGTAGGGTTTTTTCTTTTTTTTAATACTGAGAAACAAAATCGCACTGCACACAGGGACCACAGGCTTCCCTTCTGATCAATACCTGTCTCTAAAACACACGCTGTGGGCACACCCACAGGGCAGAGTTTACCCACCAGTACCAAAGGCTTTTGTGGAGATCCGCTTTTGTTCTCCAGGATCCTGGAGGAAAGGATTGTTATCAGCCCAATTTGTAGATAAATGGATCAAGGTTGTGTCAGAAACGTGATAATATAGGAGAACTTCCAAGGTCAACTGCTCTTTTTGTCCTTCTGACCAGCGAGGTACAAAGAAGGAAAAAAAAAAAAAAAAAAAAAAAAAAAAAAAAAAAAAATTCCTGCCCTGCCCTTCTGGCCTCTGCCTCTGGGGCTTTTCCAACCCAACCTTTGCACTTCCTCTGCTGCAGTTCCTGCTGAAGTTGCTTGTCTTTTACCAATAGCCTAGAGTCAGCAGGGAGGGCGCAGAGCTCTGTGCTGCAGAGATGCGCCGGCGCAGGATTTGCTGTGGTCCAGGATGCCCAGATCCAGAACGTGCAGGGCATCAGCCTTTTCCGGCCCATTCGAGGGACTAGCAGAATTCATAGTCATCTCAGCTCATTAGTATGAGCACCCTGTAAGAGTCTTTATGTGCTGAGTGTCCGCCGTCATCGGGCTCTTTGTAGTGGGATCTCCTGACCCACCACAGCCCCTGGATTCCATGCTGCATCTTACAAAGGAGTGACTCGCACTTTAAGTGGCTAGAAACTGTACCCACCCCACGCTTCTGGCGGAGGTCACAGCGGTGAGTTTCTCCCTGAGCTTGGTTCAAGCTCCCCCTCTCAAATGCCAAGCCTACATTTCTCAAAGCACAGGCCACGTGGGTCATCCTCATCAGAACTCTTGGGAAATGTGCGGGTTCCTGGGCACATTCAGTGTCTGTTGCACTAGAATTTACGATGATGAAGCCAGGAACTGAATTTTCATCAGAGTTTCGTGTAGATTCTTACGCACATCTCAATGTGAGAATCATCCCAAAGTCATAGAAAAATGTCCAGTGGCAAATTCATGCCCGTAGAGAAAGGCATTCAATACCCTCTAGATTTAAACTTAAGGGTGTATATACAGCTACTTGCGACCATATAATAATGTATATACTTTCTATAATTTAAGTCACCAGCCATTGCACTCGCTCCAGGATTACTTGATAGAACAGGTGTGTTGTGCAGCATATTCTATGGTTACAGCCAGAGAGCCTACGTTCTCTGGAAAGAAGTGAGTGCTCCGCAAAGTCTCGCAACCTCAGAAACATTCGTGCGCAGGCGCAGACTTCAGGAAAACCAGAAGCGGCCGCGAAGGAGCCCTGGGGAAATGCGTGCTCCCTCTGCATCCGCCTCCTGCAGAGCCTACGCAGCTGGTCCGGCTGGCGGCTCAGAACACGACTTCCTCCACGCTCACATGACTCCCGGGGTCACACCGATGTGAGCGTGCCTAGCGAGCTTCAGGGAGGAAGGACACCAGCGGAAATCAAAGCAGTGACACACAGGGTTGGCCCCTTCTTACTCCTCCTTGCCCCCTAATAACAGCAAAGACTCTGCAGGCCCGGACGCACCTTTCTTCTACGATCTCGAATTTTCCTAGGACAACCCGTTGGAGCTCCTAAGAATACCGTGAGATTCTAACTAGCATTTCGTTTACGTCGTGCAGGCTTTGCTGGGAGCAGACTGCTGGGGAGAAGCATTTCTTTAACAATAACAAGTTTTCTGTTGTCCATGTGTCATCATTTTTACTTCTAGGAAGTTCTGTTTGGTAGAACATCTAACACAGGATAGGCTGGGAAGAAATTCTTTTGTTTTTTCTTTTATTTTAACAATTAATGTTTTTTATGGTGGTTGTTGTTGTTTATATATATTTGGTTGGTACGGGGTCTCACTACGCAGCTCGGCCTCGTAGTGATCCTCCTGCAGTCAGCCTCCCCAGCGCTAGGATTATAGGAGTGCGCCCCCAAGCCCAGACTGTGCAGCCGGTTTAGCCACCCTGGGGGTAGGGCTGGCGAGGCATGTGGTACCTGGGATCGGATGAACCACAGTCCCTGCGCTTGCCTAAGCTTGCCTAAGCAGGCGCTTAGTCTGCTGAGCTATCTCGCTGGTCCCCTTCACAATTAATGTTTATTGGTATATTTTTGACACGCCAAATGATCACATTCATCACAGGGAATTTGAACCCGTATGTGTTATACTTTAGCCTTTCTCTCCCATTACCCTCTTTACCTTCTGCCCCCAACTGTCCCCATTTACAGTTCTTTCCATTTTCTTCTTTTATCCCTAATCCTGTCTTCCCCTCCCCCATCTTCTGCCTTGGTCCCCTTCCTATTTGAACATTTGCTTCCTAATTCTCAATCTCTTGCACCCATTTTGCTCCTTATCTGCCCTTTGAGTTTTTCACGCAAGAGAAAAAAATGCAATATTTGAACTCCTGTGTCTAATTTATTTTACTACAGTGTATGGTCTCAAGGTGTATCCATTTACCTAAAAATGGCTCAAGCTTATCCTTTCTTATGGCAGTGTAATACTTGGTTATAAATAAGAACCACATTTTCTTTATTCAGTCATCCACCGATGGGCATCTGGGCTGCTTCCAGGATTTACTTACTATAAATTGTGCTGCTATAAACATAGGAGTACATGTATTGCTATGATATGATGCTCTTCACTCTTTCAGGAAGGTATCTAGAAGAATATCTTGGCCAAATGCAACATCGTTTTAGTTTTTTGAGGAATCTCCATACTGATGTCCACAGGGTTGCAGCAGCCTGCGCTCCCACCAACAGTGGAGGCTTCCTTTTCCTCAGAGTCAGGATTTGCAGCTTTTGCTATTGGTCAATTTTTTGAAGATCACATTCTTTCTAGAGCTCGATAGAATCTCAGTGTTGGTTTAATTTTCATTTCTCAAACGACCAGTGGCATTAAACATTTTTTCCAGTAAATCAGTTTGCCATTTGAACTTCATTTGAGGAGTGTCTTCTCATTTCAGGTGCCTATTTTTTTAATTGAATCTTTTAATTTGGAAGGTTGGATTTTTTTTTTTTTTTTTTTAGTTTTGTTTTTTGAGACAGGGTCTCACTCTGCAGGTCAGGCTGGCCTTGTGCTTGCTTTTGTAGCTCCTGGCCTGGCCTTGATCCTCCTGGCTCAACCTTCTGAGTTCTGGGATTACAGGTATGTGCCAGGATGCCTGGTTCTAGGCATAAAGGGTGATACAGCTTGCCCAGGGATCTGGGGCTGAGACCACATGGCTTGTGGGGCCAGGGATCAAACTTGGGTCCTTGTGCTTACCAGATAGGTGCGTATAACTCTTGAGTTATCTCTCTGGCCCCTTTTGAGTTCTTCATATATACTCGATATTAGTCCTTTAGGGAATAGCTGGTAAATATTTTTTCTGTTCTGTGGGCTGCTATTTCAGTCTGTTGGTGGTCTCATTTGCTGTGCACAAAGCTTTTTAGTGTGAAGTAATCTCAGTTGTTGATTCTTGGTAATATTTCCTGTGTGCTTGGGGTTTTCTTTATGAAGTCTTTGCCTACACTGTCGAGTAGCTTATCTCTCCTATCTTTCAGCAGATTGTTTCTGCTTTAATATTTAGATCTTTGGGGCTGGCAAGATAGCTCAGCATGCTAAGCACTTGCTTAGGTAAGTGCAGGGACAGGGCTTAATCTCTCACACCACAGGCCACTCTGGCCCCACCCATGGGCATGCCAGTGGGCCACAGAGTCTTGGGTGTGGTGATGCATGCCTGTAATCCCAGCACTGGGGAAGCTAAAACAGGAGGCTCACTCCTATTCTGAGGTGAGTAATGGGACCCTGTACCAAATACATAAATTAAAATAAAATAAAATTTAGATTTTTGACCCATTTTGATTTTGGTTTAGTGCAGGGTAAGAGATACAGCTCTAGGTTTAGTCTTCCACATGTGGAAATCCAGTTTTCTTGGCACCATTGTAGAAAGAGGTTGTCTTTCTTTGAAGGAGAATTCCTGATGTTAGAAGAGGACACTTGGGCTGATACACACATTCACAAACTCCAGAAGTTATGGATGTAGTTAAACTTTTTTTTTTTTTTTTTTTTTTTTTTTTTAAGATATAATGAAAGAGGGGATCAGAACAGGTGTGAGATCCGGCTCTGGATCGGGACATGAAAACCAGCTCTTTTGGTGATGTCTGCCTAGCTCAGGCTCTGGTTGGCTGGAGCCTAAGGTCCAAGGATGGTGGACATTAACCAAACAGACAGAATAGACAGAGCACACTGTGGACATGAGAACAGAAGAAGTGTCTGGAGTACTGATTCTAGCCACGCACGCTAACCTGAGAGGGGATCAGAAGAGG